ATTAACTTTTTATATTTTAGGTACTATTAAGTTCCAAAATACTTACTAATCCAATAAATTTTATTATTTCAATTAAATGTTTAAACCATAAATGATAGAAAATGAAAAAGATCTTTTTTGTTTAAATAACCACACCTAACAAAGTAGGTTGGTTTTGTTTGATCAAAAAATCCAAAAGAGTCAAAGAATTTGTTGCAGCGAATGCTTGTAGACTTTCTAAACAGATGCCAAGATTGTGGGATTAACAATAATAATCTAAAATATTGAGGATGTTATTCAAAAAAATGCGAGTTCCTTAGAAGATATTACTTCAAACACTATTCAAAAAATAAAACTTTGTATAACAAGTGTTTAGAATTTAAAGACAAATTTTATGAAATTATTTGATTCTATCATTAGAACAGCTGAAGATTGGACTTTAAATTTATAAGCATAAAGAGAAAAATTCAATTAATACAGTTTCTATGATGAGTTAGATAACCTTATTAATAAATAGAATAAAAATTTTGACACTCACATAAAACTCATTAATACTATTAATAGATCTTGGATAACAAAGCTATGCAATATCTTAACCTAATTCAATCAAAATAAAGATAAGTTAAATTTGTAATAATTTTATGAACAAGTTATAAGCATCGGTTATTTTAATTTATCACCACAATATTCTATAAAATTGTAATTAATTGATTAATCTGTTAAATAATGGGAAAAATGTTAAGCAATAGTTTTTGATTATTCTGGGTCAATTATGGTATCAACTCAAAAGAATGACATTAGAGTATGGAATTTTCTAAATGGAACAATCAAACTCGTAAATACTTTATAAGAACATACTGATTAGGTCTAATGTCTAGTTTATAGTAATAAATAGAATTCTTTTATTTCATGTTCTTAAGACAAAACAATAAGGTGCTGGCAATTGGTCTAAAATGAATGGATTTGTTCATAGCCTTATTAATAACATACAGATTAAGTTATATTTATGTTATTGAATTCAAATGAAGATTTACTATTTTCTGGAAGCTTTGACAAATCAATCAAAGTTTGGAAGGTTGATTTTAACCAAAATAAATTGAAATTTCTGTATTCACTGAATAACCATAGTAATGATGTTGTTTCTTTGAGCTTAAATTAATCAGAGAATTTATTAGTATCATGTGCAAAAGGTTACAATTAAATTATTATATGGGAAAGAAAAGAAGAAGATAAATTTGAATTCAAACATTTTGTTACATAATCATTTTAAGAGTATGGACATAAAGTTAAGTTTATAAAAGAAAATTAATTTATGTTGATAACTAATGCTAACCAAATGGATAAAATTTTTATTTTTGAAAGAAAAGAAGGAGTCTTTTAAGTGAATGAGAGTAAAACTATTCATTTAATGACAAATAATAAATTTTATGACGAATATCATTTTCCAATTATTTATAATTAAGTGAGGAATTTGATAGTCCTAAGATATAAAATGTTTATTTATATCCTTAAAGAATTTAATGATGGGAAATACAAAATAGTTGATTAATTGAGTTGTGCCACATATAGTATTTATGGAACTATCACAAATAATGGACAATATTTGGTGTATTGGGATAACAAAAATCAAGGATATTCCGTATATGAATTATTAAATAAATGAGCATTTATGTATTTTTCTTTTTTAAGTCAACTTTCATCAATAACCTATTGAATTCAACTGAAGTAAACACCATGATCTGATTCCTTATAATAATTTTACTAAATTTATTTCTAGACATTTTGAAACTTTCATCATTCCACCTATCGATGAATAAAACTGCATACATCATATTTTCTCTAATGATATAAATATCTAAATCGAATGACAAACTCTAAAGATCCAAAACTTTAATTTAACTTATAAAAATTGTTGAATAATGGTATCAATAATCTAAAATAATATTCTTAAATCTATTCAATAAATCTTCAAGTACATGCACATAATTATTTCAACTGTTTCATTTTTAAGTGCAATTAATAAATGGAAATTAAAATGGGAGAAGAACTAATTATTTTTTTCGTATCTCTCTAATTTGATGGAATATTTAACACCTATGCTATAATATTGTCTAAAAAGGTTTAATTATGATTCTAAGTGTATCATAGAGTGCAAGAAAAGGTATATCTATTTTTAAAATTAAATATCTTGCCCTTAGTGTTATGGCTTTACACATTCTTCTGCTACGGGTTGAAATTTGTGTCACTAGAAATTGACATATAACTTTATATATCTGAAAATTGATAAAGCGCAAATTGAGATGGAAGTTTTTATCAATACAAATAATTTTAAAAAAAAGTTCATTTGTAATATTTGAAGCCTTTATTTAAAAAGACTATTAGGATATTATGAATAGATAACAAAAAGACTGTTTATCAACTTGAAATCCATGCTGGCTTCTACTGTGCTGATTGTAATGATAGTTTCTAGTTAATGTTAGTAATTAATCTTAACCCTATAGATATAAAGTGAAATACTTTGTAAAATTAGACTGCTTAATACATGTCCTCAAATTTAAATTATCGTGAACAACTTGCTAGTCATTAAGGTAAACAATGTTTCAATCTTGTGTCGCTTTTATAGCCTTTCAAGTTGCTATTTAATGTGACATTATTATTATGTGAATGATAACTATTTTGTCCAAGTTAATGGTAATTTTATGCAACATTAGTCTCACCATGTTATAATGTTGGTTATTGCTGTGCAGTAATTTGTAAAAGTTAACAATGTGCGAATGGATTTAGCTTTCATTGCCATAATAGTTAAAATGTCCTATGTGGACACTAACAAGTGTAATCCTTTCTCCAAGCGGCATCTGAAATATGCGAAACTTCTATCTTTCCTATTTGTCGTAATATCAAGCCCATGTTAAAATTGTATTGAAAACTTTAGAATTGATTTAGCAAAATGTGAAAACAGTTATTATTATTCTTCCTACTAAAGCATTAAAAATTTTCTTTTCTTAAATAAAGATATAAGAAATGCGATAAATTTTATATTATGTGTGGATAGTTAAATTTGAAGAGAATGTTTGAACCTTGATCATCTTGTGAATGATATATTGGATCTAATAAAAGTTACTGCTCCTGTTTGTGAAATTATATTTGCATAGTGTATCCTATTCTTCAACACATTCTGATGGCACTGCTGTTGCAATCTAGGCTCATAATCATCATCTCTTGCTTGCAAAAAATATTGATATACTTAGTTAACTCCTATAGCCTCGTGCACTTGCAAATCTTATGGATCATACTTTATATTAGTAGTATGCATGCTTCATCAATACTGTTTGTTTAAAATGCACTTGTTTTTAATGCTAACTGTAGTGTAGATAATTATATATAATGCATAACTTGCTTCATCCTACTTATGCCTCTAATGCTTCGTGTAGTCTTTTCTAATAAATTAGATGTTCAAATTCTCACTTAACATGTTCTGGCTATAATACTTATCTTTAGTATTCAAAGCAAATATTTATCATATCCCTCTTGCACTATAAGTCAAAATCATTAGTTCATTATGCATGTTCTGCAGCTTGCTAATTTTGCAAATGGATTTTTATGCTCATCCTACTTATGCATGTAAATTTTTAATTCGCGCAGCTTATTCAATTAACGTTGAATTACTAATTTTTTATCATCTAATGAAAGAATTGAATTACTGGAACTTGCTTATGCAGCAAATTATTGTATTCTAATAAATTTCTACTAAGTTTCTATCTGTTTAAGTCATATGCATGTAATACTATTTAAGCAATTTGCTTCAACATTTTAATGCTTCGTTAATTGTAAATTGCATATAACACAAAATTTCTTTAATAATATAACAGCGTAGAGGAAAATACTACTCTCTATACAAATTGCATGTATTTTAATATTAGTGTTTCATCAATACATTTAGGAAGAACTGAAAGATTTAATTAAGGAACTCAACAAGGAAAATGAATGAGGTAGGGTTGAATATGATAAACTAATTCAAGCACTAAAGGAGCAAACTAATAAATTAATATGTCATAAGAATTACTCTATTTTAAGATAAACTTGATCAAAAGATACTTTAGAGGTCAAGACAAAATTAAAACCAATGATACTATGAAGTATTTAATAACAAATTCTATTTTTGCTTGATTCTATATTTGCTTGATTCTGGTTCCATTTCAAGAGCACATTCTAATATATTTCTGTACAACAACAATATGATGAAGAATCGAATATTATCATTTGTAGTAATTCCCAATATTCTCCTTTTATTATGTAATAAATATTAGTTAGCCACATCAGCTTGGTTTTAAATATTTTTTATAAAAACCTCCTTAAGTTAAGTTGGTTGTACTTTATATTTGACTTCTTATGCATCTTAAATGATTAAAAGTAATAATAATGTACTATTTTTGTTTTTATCGT